CATCTGAAGATTTTATTTATACAACAAAATATTTTACAAAGTCTGATTCACCAGAATCACAGGACCGATAATCAGAAATCAGAAGCCCAAGCTTCAGGAAACGATAAAATACACACATATAAAACATAGAAAATACCAGTACGAATACGAAGCTAAAACGAAGACAGAGCGATAAGATAACAAGGCTAAGGCGAAAGGTTCCGGAGAGAAGATTTAAACGAACACCAAGTAAAAACCAAATCTGGGACTAGAAGTATCACCCAAGCGAATCGGAATTGAAGCCCCTCCTGACCGAATAAACCAAGGATTCAGTGCTACCAAACCCTCATATACTGCTCCGACGTCCAACGTGCGGAGCCAACCGAGGCGGCACAGACAAACCAGACCCTGAGACGAAATCACGTTCGTTGAGAAGATTGCAAGGAAGGTATAATCATCGATGGTGAAAACCCCCAAAACCGAGGCGGAGATATCCAATTTTTGAACCGCCTATGCCGAAAGAGAAATGGCCAGATTTGAAACGGAAAACTGGGAAACGAGCACACCAAGGAACAAGAACCCAGGATGAAATGATCGAAAAAATCTCCAGAAACTATCCCACAAAACCCTAAGCACTAAACCTCATCACCACACCAAAACTCCAGATATAAGACAACCTAAAAACCAGAACGTAAAAGGCAAAGATGACATATCAAATTGAACAAACAATCTGAAGTCCACCAACACCAACATTCTGTTGCAAAAAAGTTCTAAAAGATAATACCATCTACCAAGGACCAGCATAAACTAAACCAAACCAGGAGATGACAAACCCAAAGAACCATCATACTAAAACCAGACTTTACCATCTACTACTACTAACCCAAACCCAGGCAACGAACGAACACAGGGAAGAAATTTGAGCCAAAGACCCAAAGTAAACCACTGCAACCACCATTAACCAGACCCAGACACTACAAAAACTACTCCCTACCCAAATCAAACAACCCACCCATCGGAAGAAAGCCAGCAAAGAGCATGAAATTCCAAAATTGTTCCACAACCCAAACCATCCACGTGACATCAAGAGCAACTTTGCCGATGAACCGCTCACCCTCTTCCTTCTCAAAAACAGACGGAACTGACGAGGAGCTAGCCGGAAACCGCAAAAGCTCTGATGAATCCACCGACAGAACGGCGGGTCTTCACAGATCGGCCGGCTGAAGAAGCCCGGCGAAACCGATCGGAACAACTTCCGATCTCTTAACTCACCGCAAACCGACGGGTCAACAACACGGACGGCGGCACCGGCGCTGTGGAAGCCACAGGTGCCGGAAACTGAGCACAGATCGGAGAAAGGTCTTCGACAGGAGAGAAGGAGAAAACGCGTGAAGGAGAGAGAGATCTGCCATATCAATTTTATTTGTCCTCTATTTTTTATCAAGATGCTTAATAAAATCTCCCTGAAAATAAAATTTGAACTCTGTACGTACTTGTATGATCAGCTTTTGAATTTGATGGAATGGATGTATACATAAGATTCTGTGAATGTGATTAATCAGTAGCAAAATAATTTAAAGTGGGAAAGTGGAAACAGCTGTATTTGGTACGGAAAGTGAATGGCATTAGATTGAGAAGGATACTGACACCATTCGCAGAGCGTGTACTTACCCTTACTTTCATTTCTTGTACTACACCTTCTTTTCTCCTTTTGTTCACACTC